GTCAGAGTGCCTTGCCCAGGACTTCAGGTCTAGGAGTCTTGGTAGGAGACAGGATGGAATTCTGAGCCTGGGGACTTAGCCTTGCAAAACTGGCCTCTAGCCTCCAGCTAGGCCCAGGATGGCAGATGAATAAGCCACAGCACCTCTGGGTGAGGGAGGGGAGGGCAGGGCAGGGAGCCTCTAGTCCCCAGTGATTTTCCAGGGCCTGGCTGGGGGCAGGCAGGTGTTGGGAGGTGGATGCCAGCTGGACCAGTGCAAAAGGGGAAAGCACTGTCCTAAAGAATTGTCCTTGACTGTTGGCACACAGGAGGGGGACAGTCTGCCACAGCCCCACCTAGATGTTGATTCCACTTATGGAAAAATTTGCCCTCTTTTGGCATAAAGTCTCAGGAACTCCCTGGCTTCTCCTTTTTGCTGCCTGCCCCCTGGAGAGTAAGAAGCCTTCTCCCCTGAGACTTCCCCTCAGAGCCACTGTCAGAAGCTCTCCACCCAGCTGCCCCTGACCTTGACCCCTGCAGTCCAGTGAGGAGTCAGTGCCAGCCCATTGCACTCCAGAACCAGGGACCAGCTGATGGGCCGTCCTTACCACCCCCCTCCCCGCTCCCCACTCCCCACTGCCATGGAAACGGCAGGCACTCCTGCTCCTGCAGAATATTGCTTTCTTCTAACCTCCCTCCCTCCCTCTCTTTTCCCCTCTTCTTTCTCTTACACAAAAAGAAAGCGCAAGTGTTTTATATTCATTTTGCAAAAAACGCTGTGTAGTGCATACTAATTGGTGCAGCTTCCTCTTGCTTTCTTTGAGCCATTCCCTATCCTCAGAGCCAGGACTCCAGGCCAGCCATGGGCAGGGGCCCAGCCAGCCTGCTCACTGGAAGACTGGATCTGTTTTTCCAGAGGCCGAAGCAGGACAGGCCACAGAGTGTCTGTAGTTCCTGGGGCCTTTTCTCCTTCCTGGAAGGGGTGCCCAGTAAGCAAGGCCACCAGGATCACCTAGTGGTGATCACTCATCCCAGAGTATTCTACCTATACTTCAAGCTTTGCAAGGTCTCCAGATGGATGGAGCACCAAAGTTCTGTCCTGGGCAGAGACTCAAATCCAGATCCAGAGGGAAGGGTGGCTCCCCATAGTAGTCTCTGTTGCTTTTCCCAGAACCCCTGCTGTTGAGGCCTTCCTCTCACCTGGGCCTCTTCTCCTGTCCTGGGGTAGGTCTGCATTTGTTTGCATCAAAGCCTCAAGGTGTGAGTCAGGTTTGTGTATCAGCTGGGAATGGGCCAGCAGCTGGACTTGATTGGTGCCAGAGCTGGATGTCAAAACTACCACGTAGCCTCTGTGTGGCTCCCCACTGCCCACCTTAAGCTGTTCCTTGCTCTCTGTTTAGGCAGCTTCTTCCTTCCTGTCAGCTCTAGCAGACTGAAGGAGATAGTGACACTGTTCTGATCCTGCTTTATTTAAGGGACAGGAAGGGCGCTGTGTGTGCAGGTGTATGTGTTGCCCCAGGCAGAGGTATGGGCTTTTACCAGGCCCCAGGGACCAGAGAAAACCATTTGATATGTAAGCACAAGAGGAGTGGCTGGAATTACTGAAGGAACCTGTAGACAACATTTCCGGCTTTAATTGTGCAATTGAAGTGTAATTTGCATTCATTTGCCATTTGGTGTTAAACTTTTTAAGATAAAAGAATTCAAAATGTAAAGGATGCAGCTTTGCTAGCTGGGCTCTCCGGTGGGGAGGGAGGATGGGCCTGGAGGCTGTGGTACAGAGGTGGTGCTTTCTCTTCTGAAGCCTCCATGTTTACACTGCACTCCTGCCCAGTCACCAACCAGGGCCACTGAGCTGCTTGGCTGTAGGACCAAAACTCGTATAATAGAAGTGGTAAGCCAGCCTTTCTTTGTGCCTGCTCTTTGTGCTTTGCAATCATCCCTCAGTATCCACAGGGGACAAGTTCCAGGGTCTCCATGGACACCTAAATCCAAGAATATTCAAACCCCTTATATGAAGTAGCGTATTAGTTGCCTATAACCTGTATACCTTGTCCATATACTCAAAATCATCTCTAGATTACTTGTAATACCTAATACTATGTAGATGGTCACCATACTGTATTATTTAGGGAATAACTACAAGGAAAAAGTCTACTTGTTCAGTGTAGACACATTTTTCCCCCTAATATTTTCAGTCCACAGGTGGTTGGCTCCTCAGACACAGGAACAACTGTGTCTGCTATAATCTTCAGGATGCCTTGCAAGGTCAGACCTCCATTTGCCCATATGGGGAAACTGAGATTCTCCATTACCAGCAAAAAGAAGTCCAGGCTTCTTTGTCTGGATCCTAATAAACTCATGACAGTCTCCCCTAACCAACCACCGGTTGGCCTGGTTTCCACCCATACCCCGTACTCCAGCCCTATGGCCGACTCTGGAGATAGACCACAGGCTTATTTTCCTTGAATATGCCATGTTGTTCCCTGCACTCATGAGTGGCTTAGAGAATGTTTCAAATGCCTTTCTCCCTGCCCTCATTCCAAGCTCAAATGCTTCCAAAGCTCCTAGTTCCCCTCAGGCTGAGTTGCTGGCTCCCGTCCATTGGCTATATGATCAGTAAATGCTTAACCCCTTTCTCTGCAGCCAGCACAGAACTGGCCCACAGTAGCTGCTCAGTAGATGTTGGGAAGAGAAGGACTGGGTGATGGAGTTCACTGGTCCAGGGTCGGGAGGCTAAGTGGCGGGGTCAGGACTGGGCGTTAGGACTGTCTTGGCCACAAAGCCCTGCGTAGCAGTATTAATGGGCTCAGGTTTGGGAACCAGAACTGAATTTGAAGAAGACTCCACTGTTGCCTCAAGCTGATGACTCTCCAAGCCTCAGGTTCCTCGTGTGCAGTGCATCGGGTGACACAGATAATGAGTAAGAACGTTAATTTTGGCCAAGAACCAGACCTCCCTGTCTCTTGCAGCCTGGTTCCAGAGCCACTCAGGATGGTCACCGTCTCACAAAGGCCAGGCCTCTCAGGTGCTGCTGGTTCTTCCCAGGCATCATTTCTGATGGAAATAAGCCCCTGCAGGACATCTCTTGTGAGTCAGTATGTCCATCATGATACTGGGGATCTTGTGAGGGCCCCAGTGGCTGGCTCACACCTTTCCCCCTTGGTGCATTTGACCACAAGTGTTTGCTGCCCAGAAACCATGTGCCCCTGTCCACCTGCACAGACCTCAAAGTGTGGTGTCAGCAAAACCTACCACTTTGGGCAGGTGGGAAGACCAAGAGTAAATTGTTTTATATGTACCATTGGATTAGGAACTAGGATGCCAGTTTAGGGATTTGGCTTGATTTTTATTTTTTTCATACCAAAGTTTTGTAGTATTTCCACACGGTTGTACAACTATCACTACTATTTAATTCCAGAACATCTTTATTGCCCCAAAAGAAACCCTGTACCCGTTAGCACTCATTCCGCAGACTTCCTTCTCCCAGCCACTGGCAACCACCAATGCACTTTCTGTCTTCTTGGATTAGCCTATTCTGGATTTTTCATATAAATGGAATCATCATGCAGTTTGTGGCCTTTTCTGTCTGGCTTCTTTCACTTAGCAAATGTTTGCAAAGTTCCTCCTTGTTATAGTATATGTCAATGCCATTCCTTTTTATGGCCAAATAATATTCTGCGGGATGGATATGCCACATTCCATTTATCTGTTTATCGGTAGATGGACCTTTCAATTGTTCTACTGCCTGGCTCTTAAGGATAACATCTGCTGTGAATGTTTATATGGAATTTTCTGTGTGAATATGTGCAGTTCTCTTGGTAACTACCTAGGAGTTGGTAGTACACCTGTGGCAACTCTGTTTAACTTTGGGGAGAACTCTTGGCTTGATTCTTGCCTCACTGTTTAATTTTGTGTGAGTCATTCCCCCCTCCCCCTTGTCCCCCTTGTCTGAGTCCCTGATCTCACTTCTCCTCCCTGACCTTTGGGGAGCAACTTGCTTGGGAAATTGGGCATCAGGGTACATGACCTCTGCCCAGCCTGCCAAGGTGCATGTTCCAAGTCTGCTCATCTTGCCGGGCTGCACATCACTGCTGTTCTGCCTGCTTCCTTCACCCCACCGTGTTCCCTCTGTCTCTCTGAGGCTCCTTTCTCCATGGGAGCAGAGACCCTGGGCCTGGGCAGAGAGGCAGCCCTCGCTCCTGCCATCTGACTTTGCTGTGTAGCAGCCACATTTTTCAGCCATCATGGGTCCATTTTCCACAGGCCCAGTGAAGAAAAATGTTCTGAGAGCAGCTAAAATCCCATATTCTGATGCTTGGAAGGGCAGGTAAGGACAGCACTTGTGAGTGCTGTCTGCTAATGATCGGTCTAGCCGGCTGTCCACCTGCCAAAGGCAGAGGGCTCAGATGCAGGAATGCAGTACAGCCCTGACGCAGAGCAGTGGTAGGGCTGCAGACATCTCCCACCCCAGCCTAGGAAGGGACACTTTTAAGGTAGCTTGTCTGAACGTTAGAAAGTCCCCAGTCCTGAGTCCATAGTCATGCCCCAAATGTAGAGGGCCCTTGGCATCTGTGTGGCCCAGTGACACCTCTGCAGTAACAGTGTTCTGTGGGTAGGGGTAGGCAGGTCTGAGGCTGCTGTGTCAGCAGAACATGGCCTGGAGGGCACTATCAGCCCCCTACACAGCCCAGCCGAGACACACTGTGCAAAATGCACCCTAGTGAGGCCTGCATCTCCTGGGGACCCAAGGCAAGGGCTCTTGGGAAAGGTACTCACCAGCCTCAGATTCCTCCAGAGTCCTCATTCACTGCCATCATGGTCTGTTCAGTCCGTTCCTTCATTACTTTTCTGAGTGCTTTCTTAGTCGTGGTCTTGGTGGCTTTCACAATGGCAGGAAGCCCAGTTGTCGTCAGGCCCTTTCTCATACGTCTTCCAGGGGCTCTCTCTGACTTCACCTCTACCACAGCAGCTCAGCTTGTAGAAGAGAGCTCACCCCTCATCTTCCACTTGTTTTCCCAGGTCGTCCTGAAGGATCTGGAGGTGTTGGCAGAAATTGCTTCCTCCCCCGCAGGCCAGACAGATGACCCAGGCCAACCCGATGGCCCTGACCTCCAGATCAACCACTCAGAGCTTCAGGTGCCCACCTCCGGCAAAACCAGCCTGCTAAATACTCCCAGTAAGTATTTCCTTGGGGATTCCAGCCTCAGAAACCCATGAAATGCTATTGCTGGGTCTCCTCCTGGACTAAATGGGCCTTTGGGCTGTCATTCTTGAGCCCCCAAGCTCTGCCGATGTGCAAGGTTTCCTACCTTTGACCCATTTCCTCCAAAGGCAGACAGACCTCACCCTGTTGCTGCCTTCTGGCTCACATTCCAGCAACACCAAGAAACCCTCGCAACCCCTTTCTCTCATTTCCCTACACCTTTGATGCTTTTGAGCCACTGACTAAGCACAAAACCATTTGAGGCAACTGAACATCTCTACCTGGGCAGGAGTCTCCCCGAGCAGGAGTCGGGCCCTTGATTCTCGCAGGCAGAAGACTAGGCAGGCATTTTCCCTTCACAGGGAAGCTCAGAACAGCTCTTGACATGGCAGGCAGCCCAGGGAAGACACAGGATAATCCCAACTGGCTGTTTCCTGGCCATCCTCAGAAATGGAGGTGACCTGGGTATTCTAGTGCTCACCCTTCCTGTCCTTTCAGACAGCAGGTATCTCTTCTCTCTGTGCCACTCAGTACCCAGCTCCTTCCCCCACACACAGAAGACACCTCCCTTCAGCCACACTATCTGGAAACGCCCCAGGGATACAAGATGAGAAGAAAGTACCTAGTGAATCTTGGGAGTCTGCCTTGGTGTATCTTTGTTCTTGAGTCACTCTTGACATCCATACATCAGGTCCTGACATCCATGCATCAGGCACCAACAGCTTCCGGAGCATTTCAGTGGCAGCTACCCTCCTGCAGCCCAACATACTGGTCCCAGACCCAGAGAATACCTGCCCCACCTAGTGCCAACTGGCCCAGCCCTATTGGGTACAAAGACCAGGCCCGGTGCCAGAGAAGTTTAGGGTGTCACCAAAGCTCCACGTGCCTCATTGCACCCCAGGACATGCCAGGTCAGATCACAGAAGGCCAAAGACTCCTCCCTGTGACACAGAAAGCCATGGGTTCCCTGAGTGCTACAGCACAAGGCATGTAGGAGCCCAGGCTTCAAGCTGCCTGAAGCTAGAAGAGGAGTGAGGATCTCCAGCAGCAGCCCAGCTTCGCTCTCCCACTTCCGCCGGATGCCGTCATTTCCTTGCTCATGAGCCTGGTTTCCTCTGGGTAGTCAGCTGCCATGGTCAAGGAAACAGCTCCCTCGTGCTGACCCCGGAACCCCTGCAGGGGCTCCCACCCCCTGTCCCTCGTCATAGGAATTGATGCTCCATCCTGTGTCCCAGGTCAGCCAGTGGGAGCCAACCTGGAGGCCCTGGGATAGATGGCAAGGATGCTAGAGGTCAAGTGTGAGAACACAGAGCAGGGAGTAGGGAGACACTGAGACAGGGAGGGGAACAGGAGGCTCTTGCCTAGAGAGAGGATCGCAGCAAGGGCAGGATGGTAGTTGCTATATCAGCCCTCAGCCTTCCCCCTCCAGGAGACAGGTGCCCCGCCATCTTCTCCCCTCCTCAGTGTGGCAGCAGCAGAAACCTGTGTGAGGCAACATAGCCTCAAACAAAGGCAGGACACCTAGATCTCCCAGGAGCCTCGGTGAGCTGTTCCCTCATCTGTAAGGTGTGTTTTCTCTTTCTCCTGGTCACAGAGAGGTTGAGATATGGGTTTCTACCAGTGGAGAAATGGTCCAGGAACCGCTAAGGCCCCTGGGCTGGGGTTGAGTGTTGAGGGCAACACAACTGACCCTGCAGCAATGTGGGAACAAGAGACCTGAACCCCAGCTCCTGGCCCTGCCAAGATCAGAGAGAGGGCTTCTTAGAAGCCTGAGGTAGTGGACTCGCCCTGGGCCGCCAAGGCCGTCAGACTGGCTCACATCAGCCAGGCACACACTTGGAATTCATAGAAAAACAACTAAGTATGCCAGATGGGAAGAAGTTCCATTCTGGAAAGAACACCAGGGAAGTGCTGCAGCCAAGAATGCACAGCACTCGAGCCACCAGCCCTGACCCTGTGTCCCACGTGTGGGCTTCAAGGCTGTGAGAGCCTCCAGGCAGATACACACATGAGCCCACAGCTGGCATCAGAGATTACAAGCAGGTCCATGATTTTAAAAAGTCAGGGTCAAACCAGTAATAAAAGAATGTAGAAAGCTAGCATGCCCTTTCCCCTCTCTCACCTCAGCTGCCCTGGGAGGCGCACACCCGGCGCCAAGGATGTGTGGGGTGGTGTTTGGGTCAGAAAGCATGCCGGCAATGTACACTCATGCCTCTGCTGACTACTCTTACCAGAGTGCTTCTCCCACATGCACAGCGTCCTTCTGTCTGTTTCCATGTGGACATGCACGTGGACAGAGGCTGCAGGGCCATCCTATCTTCCTGTCTAAATTCTGCTTTCCTCTGACTCTCCAGGATACCACTCTGAGAACTTACAGAATGCAGGGCTGTGTCTCATAAGGGGAAATCACCCCACTTTCCACAAAGGGACTTGCTGGAAGGCAAAGTAGGCAGGAGCCTAGCAAAGATGAAGTCAGGGCATCTGCAAGGAACCAAATGGCCTGCCTGCACACTGGTCTGTAAACTCAAATGGCGCAGATCGCATGCAGTGGTAGGGAAGCAGGACCCATTACACGCCTGGGCAGCTGCTGTGTTGGCCTAAATTCACTGTAGCAGTGGTCCCCAGGGCCCTGGAGGCAGAGTCACTCCCCTGGGATTTTCCTCTTGCCTGACCTAGCATTAGCATCTCTCCCTCCAGTGCAGAGGCCCGGGTCTGAGCTCTCCCACCCCACTTCCCTCATTCCTCACCAGCAAAAAGCTACCTCAAGAGTGATAGGGGGGCTGCCTGGGTGGCCAGCCCTAAGAAAAGATAGTGGAGGGACACCATGTTGCCTGTCTCTCAACCCTTGGTTTTCTGTGGCTCAGGCTCCTTCTGTGTCCCATCTCCTTATAGGGGGAGTTCACAGAGACCCTATAAGGCTCTGGGGAGGTGGAATAATGACCAGGCCTGCAGGCCCACCCTGGTCATGAGCCTGCACAGAAAGCTCAGCAGGACCAAAGAGGCAACTGGGATAAGTGTCGTCTTTGTCCTCCAGGGCTAGGACAGCCCTGCTGCCGGGGGGGACAGCTGGGCCTGGGAAGACCGAGACAGCCTCAGGATCTGTGAGCAAGGACAGCAGTAGTGTGGCAATCTGGGGCTGAAGGTCACCCCAGGACCGATGTTTGCCCTGAAACCCCAGTCTTCCCTGATTGTCCTGCCTGCCATGGTGCCAGTCTTGGTCAGATAAAACCACACCCATGGCAGTGTACTGGCCTAGGCATTTCCACCTCTAGTTTTAAAAATGGGTAAAAATTAAATGTTCTGCTTTCAGTTTCATCTCTTGTAGCCCAGGCCAGTGTTGCCAGTTGTCAGTAGCATCTTCTTGTTACCAAGCAGGAATAAGTTCTGGAAGAAATTCAGAAAGTCATCTTGGGGGCATTTCCCCCCATAGCAGCAGTAACGGTGACAGCAGTGGTCCCCAGTGCTGGTGTGCTCTCACTGGGACCTAACTGTGTTCCAAACACTTCACACGGGTGGCTCCTCTGGGTGAGCACCTGACTCGCAACAGCACTCTTCTCATTCCCTCAGTTGAGGATTGTGACAGGCGTTGGTGCTCGTCCGGGAGCCTGGCCTGAGAGTCTGGCCTCCTAACCCCATGCTCAGAGGAGAATCGGAAGCCCACCCTTGCCAGCTGTGGAGACTCCCACTGCCTGAGGGGAGGAGCACTAGGGTCTGGGCCAGTGGTCTGGGGCTAGGCTGGGTGCCAGCCCATGGTCCCAGCCTGGCAGTTAATTCCTTGGGGAGTCACTCCTCTCCTCACAGCCACTTCGGGGACCTCCCCCCATCCTGGTCTTAGACTGTGCAGCACCTCATTTCCTCTTCTGCTGTCCCTCCACTTGCTGTGGCCACAGCACATCATCTCCCAGACTTGCCTTTGCTCTTCGAGCCTCAGAGGCCCTCTGCCCATACAACCTTTCAGCCCCAGCAGAGGGGGCGTGGGTGCAGGGACCTAGCTGTGTTCCAGATCTCCCACCTGTGCCCTGTGAACTCAGGCGAGTGTCCTCCCCAACACCACCTCCCCAGCAGTGGGTTGCTTTAGGGCTCTGGGAACATCCACATAGACAGGGCTAGATAAGCACTCTGCGCCGAGAGGCAGCTTTGGCTTCTGCCCTGTGTGTTATGAGATCTCCCGAGTGCTTGGGCCAGCTCCAGTGGTCCGCCCACAAAGGCTGTGTACCAACTCGCTCTTCTTGCTTGCCTGGGTGGGTGGTAGAGTTGGCACCTGTCTCCTCCTGGCTGTGACCTCTTACACCCCTGCTTCTCAGTTGCTCCCCAGTGGTCCGGACTCTTCAGAAATGCAAACAGTCCGGCCACCCCTGCTTCCCAGAGGCTTATTTTACCAGGCTCACCAGGTGATTTGGGTGCCCTACTCAAGTCCCAGGTGCTCAGCACAGGTCAGCACCCTCTTTTTGGAGTCCATTAAAATGAGGGAAGGCAGACACCTCACCAGCTACGAGAGGAGGTTCCCCAGCACCGCTGCCCAGGAAGGTGTCCCCTCATGCCCTGGCTGCCAAGCCTGTGACCCAGGCCCCTTCCTGTTGATTGGTCTGAGGCTTCCCTAGCTGCGCCCTCGCCCTCCATCCAGTGCTACCCTGGGCCCCAGCCCTCGATCTGTAGCAGTAGCAGCCATTTCCTGGTGGCACACAGCTATATAGGCACTCCACTGCCCTTTAACTAGAAACCTCTCCCTGGCCCACTGTGTTTCCCATCTTACTCTGAGCCAAACAGCTGGAAGACCTTGAACGTGAGTGAGGCCCCCCATGCTCCTGTCCTCACTGGCCTCAGCAGAGCTAGCCCACAGAGAAGAAAGTGATCACCTTCTAGATCAAGTCCCTGGAGTCCTATTGGTGCTACATCTTTTGTCTATGCAGACAGCAAATGCCACACACACCCAAGACCCCACTTGGCCTCCCTTTCTCCCAGCCACTTGATCT